AAGGCACGACACTTGACCGGTTCACACTCTCTAGGCCCCTTTAGCCTTGGGCTTCCTTCGGTATTGGTAAAGAACCGGTGGCCCTTGCTCCATCACCTTAACATAGTCAGATCTTGGGATAATTCTAGTATTAATCTTTCTTTAATCCCTACGAGACTAGTCTCTTGTCGAAGCAGTATATAATGGTTGCACAGGACCGGTCCTGAAAATGTTAGCACTAGGAAAGAGTTAGGACCTAATCATTAGTGACTTTTTTTTCAAAGGAGTTGATATTGGGAAGGGTCTGATGGGTTGCCTAACCGAAATGAAGCTCAACTCAATGAGAATTGAGACAAATTGCACTAACTTGATATCGATGACGACAAGCTCATGTGATTGGCCAGTTTTGAGAACAGAATTCGACTACTTCATTATGCTTCGAAAAAGCTTTTCTGATTTTAACATATTTCGGGGAGTAAATGTTCGAGTTGATTCTCTTGCGAAAAGAGCTCGAGCATGTGAATCTATATTTTCCATGTAAGTCAAACAAAATCGGTATAATCCACTTCACAGGACAATCACCAAACCACCGTTAGCATTTGATTTAATATATAGAGATCGTTGACAAAGAAAAACAAAAAATGGAAAGAGTCCAAGAACACTTATGCAATCCTTCACCACGAAATTGATGAGAATAATGAGAACTAGGTGTTACCCGCACGCATGCGCAGACAAGTGATTCATTAATATATTATCAACGTATTAAAACATAATTTTTTTTACCCATTCATTTTAAAAAAATACATAAATCAAATAGTATAGGATAGTTCATATCATGTATCTTTAATCGCATCAATTTGTTAGAAATATATAGTTTAAATATATTGATTTGTATTTATTGGAGACTAATTCTCAAAAAACATAGTTGTTTTATGTTTGTTAAAAATCTCCCTGCAAGTATAAAGATTGACATAATTAATAAGGTATATAATATTAGGAATGAAGTTAATACAATAATATTTTGSTATTATCCCCGCGTATGACATTCGAATGAGTTATTATTCTCTTTAAACATAAGTTAATACAATAGTCATTTTGGTATTATCCCCGCATCTTTCTCTTTCTTCTATGCTTTATGTTTTGTGTTTGTAGTAGTTTCTTTGATGGCCTTTGCTTCATTCTTTGTAAACAATTTCTCTCTTTGTGGAGAGTAATTTGATTTATAAAATCATGGTTTGAACCCAAAAAAATGAATATTAATGTATCATATAAATAAGTTTACATCTTTGACGGAGATATCTTATACATACTGAGTGACGGAGATGGCTGGAATTGACGAAATTTGGAATTTGGAATTTGGATTCCTGGAATATTTACTTAAATCATCTTCAACTGCATTAAAAACCATCCCAAGTTCAATCACTCTCTTTGCCATATCATCGCATGGCATGAACCCGATTGAGTTTGTCTATCGAACTTTCAATAAAGGAAAATCAGTTAAGAGTTTGAACACAAAATCAAAATTAACGTGGGTTAGCAGTGATGCTCTTGTGAATTGCATGGAAAGTAACTTATAAACCAACAAATCGCATTGATAATTTTTTCCAAATTCGTCCTTTGAAATTACAAGTTGTTAACTATCACTACGCTATGAGTAGTGCTACAATATTTTCATATGTATAAGATTTTCATATTATTCATACATACATATTATTCATATGTATAATAGTTTAATAGAGATCTCTGAAGTTCTGAATTACGCCCATTTAAGTGAAATATTCTTTTAAACATGCATTCACGTTCTAACGTATAGCTAAATCCATCTTATCCTAAAAAGATTAATGTTTTTGGTATCTTTGGAGTAACTTGAATCTCTTCTCTAATCACATCATCTTCTTCTTATCATAGAGTTTTGAACCATAATCTTGTCCTGCTCCTTCTCTTAAACTTGCCAAAGTTTATTCATTTTTTCGGTTTCACTTATTTTGGAGTTGTCGCAAACGTTTTAGAGTGATTTAGAGTGCCTAAAGAATCAAAAACATTCAAATGAAGGAGATAGCTAAGAAAATACAACAAAATAAAACAATCAGTAGAATACTCTGCAAACTTATATAATATTTTAAGGTTTTTCTAAACCTAAGTCATGAGAGGA